AGGAATGTTAAGAGGTTACCATTCTCTTTCATCCCCAAGTCAGGTATGTAATGTGAAACTATCTTTGTAGAGTTAATTTGCTCCTTGCCAAGGGAGCATTCAACTTGGATAACTTGTATTGTAGAAGCACGCTAGTCTCGCAGATAATAGTGGAGGGAGGACTTGGTTCTGGTTTAATTCTTTCACGTGAGGAATCCTTATTCAACCAAGCTGTCTCACCAAACATTAACTTTAGTGACATTCAAGGGACTTATGGTTCTAATGAAAGGATATTTATGAAATAACTGAAGATGGACAGTTTTGCAACTGCTTGTTGCTGAAGTCCCTCCTGTCTGTAGTATATCCTTGGGCAACACAGAGAAACACTTGATCTCAGTAGAAACTAGCTCTAATAAAATCATGTCTGTGAATTGTAGTTCAGATAATCAGTAACTTTTTAACTGATAACTTGGATATTTTTACGGCATAACATGTCTAGATATTTTAAACTGTAGCTGTGTTGATATAATCATTTTAGACTGTTTTCCAAGTTGATCATCACTTTTGAGATCATGGCCAATAAGGTAGCTTTTAACATTGCAGTGATCTGTCCTTGAAATTAATTAAAAGTAGCAGTGATTGTACTTATTAAATCTTTTTGTCTGTATTAGGTGATGGAAATGGGTGTCCAATTGTGGATTCCATTAAAGTTGCTACTGCCTCCTTTACTAGGCTAAATCTTAAAAGCGCAGGAGATGAGGCAACTTCTCTTTATGGTTTCTTATAAGCATGTTATCCTAATATAGGCAAGAAAAAGTTTGGTTTTGCTTTAGAACAAAACGTTGCAAGCTTATGTATTTTTTTCCCCCTCTAGAATTCCAGTTGCAAATTATTTCTTATTCACGAATGCTTTCTTAGGAAGTTTTCTTCCCCCAAGATTTCTTGCCTTCAGAACAGTCTTCGTTTTTGTTGCTCTTTCTGAGGTCCCTGTAGAAAACCTCAACCCAGTAAGTAATATGAAATGTTCTGAGGTACGCAAACTCTTTTCTTGTATTCCTTTGACTTTTGGAGTCTGTTTTTTTGGCAGTGATTGTTTTGAATATTGTATAGACTAATCTTAGCCTTTCTGATAACTTTTGTGACATCTTTTTATTCTTGTATTGCCCTCCATCTTATTTGAAAGAGGGGTAG